TTACTTGTTCTAAATTTTCCTTGTTGAGATTGTAACAGGAAGCCATGTCTGGAGAAAGCAATAGCACAAGGAGACGTACTGAAAGAGAGTTAGATTATAACTTGTTTAACTCTACAACAAAAGCAGCCTTGGAAAGAAGAGAAAAATCTATGAGAAAAAAAGAGATGATTATGCTTTTGATGAATCTGATTTGTTGCAGTAAAGGTCACGACAAGAGAGGCTGCTGGACACGCCTAATAGGAGGAGAAGGGGGAAATCTGAACTGTCCAAAGAAGAAACAAAACCTGTATATACTCGTGATGATCGGGAGTTGCTGAGTAGAGTTCTTAAGCTGATGAGTACTCCCCAAAACGTCACTGATATGTGTAACAAGATATTTAAGGATATAGAGAAGGACAAAAAAAGACAGGTCACACGTCCTTCCTCAAGATTTGCTGACACAAGGAGTCGTAGAAAGCAAGAGCAAGTTATCCAAGAGCTAAAAACCGAGCCGTCTAAGGTAACAAAGGAATCTGAGACAGAACATGAGTTTTCTCTTGTATATCCTCAATATGAACTTGATGTTATTAGTGCTTGTGATGAACTAACCTGTTTTCAACCGGTGAAACCGAGTAGCCTTGTGTTAGTGTATCAGGCCTCAGAAAACTCAGAAGAAGAAGTACAAACGAGTTCACCACCTGAAGAAGTCTTGGCGCAGCAAAACAACACAGAAGCATAAACTGGTGATAAGTCAATCTTTTTGGACTTTCAAGAGCACTTTAAGGAACTATTTTTGGATAATTTTGTGCCTGAGATGTTTGTTATGACTAGCTCTAATGATGTAAAACGCTTTGGTCTAGAGAAAGTAAAAGAATTTTGTGTTCAAAACTCTGTTTTTGATACTGTGATTAACTCTTTTAAAGTGTTGGAACCAGATAAAATTCTTGATCAAAAACGTTTTTCATGTGGCAGTGACATAAAACCTAGTCTTGTTTTGACTCTTGATCAGTTTATGAAACATAACAGAAGCTTTGATCACGATGAAAAGCCATTTAAACTTGTTCTGCAACAACCTGATCTCTGTCTTAGAAAATCGTTTGATTCTTTTGTTAGTATTACAGAGAACGGTTTGGTTATAAGATCTGCTAAAGATGAACTGATCACTGGGGTTTTATTTGAATCGCAACATGTTTGGAATGAATTTATGGATAGCAACGAACCTAAAACACTTAGAGCTGAAACCGATTTTTATTTTTTTCCTAAGTTGAAACTAGTTCATTATTGTTCTGAAACTGATAATTCATGGTTTGTTTTGGAGACATGCTTGCAGAATGGTGTTATTTTGAGCTTTGGGGATAAATTAGTTTACAACACTTTATTTGATAAACATATTGATCCTTGGATAAGTAATTCTCAGATTGAACTTGAACTTTTGTGTTCTAAATCTGAGAAACATGTGTCTGTTTTGTAATTATTCTTTAGGAACTATGCTATCACATGCCTTGACACCATTCTGGTGTACAACACTTACTTTGATAGGCATCATGATATTCTGAAACGTGTGCTTCATGTTCTAGGGAAAGAAAGTTTGGTTTATGATATGAACAAGAACATGTCTTGCCCTAATAAATCTGGAAGTCTAGCCTCTGTTTTGAGTTTCCAGGAACAACAGGTTCAGTCTCAGAGGAGTGTAAGGGACTAGAGCAGAGACCATGCTTATCGATTTGAGACTTGGAAATGGAAGTTCTCGAGAAAACCGACTTCAAAACTCCAAGTCCCATTCTAAAACCTCTCATTAATGCTCTCCTTTTATGCTTATTTTCTTGATCATCTGTCTCGCCTCTTACTTGTTTCCTTTTGATGTAAGAGATACAGATTTAAGGACAAATCTTTTCAAAGGAGGAGGGGATGATGCAACCCTGACCGAGCTAGCTGAATATCAAACAAAGGACAAACCAGGATGGATGAGAGACGAGCTTGATGAGCTAAAATCAGCAGGTGAGACTAAGGAAGAGCTGAAAAAGAGTATGCACAAGCTGGAACCAGCTGTAGAAAATGTTCATGAGCTGAAACCAGCTAAAGAGAGTGTGTATGAGCTGAAACCAGCTGAAGTTAGTAAGGATGAGCTGAACCAGCTGAGTGACACTAACCTGGAGCTGGATGAGCTAAGTGACATTAAAGGAGGAGCTGGATTAATTTCTGGGCGAAATGGGCTTTGTTAAGCTCAAGGAAAAGTTCATTAAGGGTCTGATTCATGCCAAATTCGACCAGCCCTTTCATCAGTCTTTTTCTGGCCTTTCCCATCAAGAATACCTAGGGAAAGTCAGCAAGAAAGTCCTGGTCGTGGGCATGCCAAGGGACATTCAAAGAAGAACTCAATTTTGGTCAAAAGTCAAGTCTTGCCTAGTTTTTATCTTAGTCTTCATTTCTGATTTCTCTGTTCCTAGTTTTCTACATAATTTCTAGCTTTCTACATTCTTGTAAGACTATATAAGGATGCTGCACGACCTCAATAAGATCATTCACTCTTTTTATCAAAAACCTTTCTAAGTTGTGAATCCCTTGTTCATCTTTGAATATGATCTGCTATAGAGTTCATTCTTTAACAGCAATTCTGTTTGTGATATGCGAAAGAGTTCATTCTCTGGATCACTTACACATCGAGCAAATTGTGAGCTCTCCATTGATCTACAACTGAAGAATCCCCTTCCATCTCTACCAGCATCCACGGATCCATCCCTTTGTTCATCAATCATCATACACCCACAAACAAAGCGATAAATCCATCTATCAAACCAGTTTTCATCCTTCAAGATTCAGGGGCAAAAGAATCCAATCCTACCCAGAATTCTATGACTATAGGAGGTGGATTGCCCCATCCTTTAGGGCCCACCGAACGGAAGTATACTTAAGCGGGCCGCCAAGGGGGCACATTAGCAAAAGTTCTCTTAATAGATGCCGACCTAGGTCGTCTAAGGTGGAGACTGCACACTATAAAGGGAGAGGAGGAGGCAACGATAAAAGGGATCTTAAAATCGAGCAATTACTCACAAGGCGGCTAGAATTAGGGTTTTACCTCTTTGTATCTTTCTGACTTGTAATTTTCCGGCTAACTCTCCGAGCGACGCCGTCTCGTTTCGTTTGTTTCCTCATTTGTACATCAACTCTCTTATCAAGAAACTTACTCTTCTACTCATAAATAGTAAAACACCTTTGAAATAACCCACCGATGGGTCTTGTCACTCTCTTTACTGAGACGCGACCGAACTCGGTTCGAACAAGATGCAAGTTATAGACAATGGCAGAAACTAAGCTAATACTTCTATATAAAAATTGAGAAAAGGTCATTTAAATACTGAAGTTTCACAAATTCACCATGATTAAAATAAATCACAAATTTATATTAACTGAGCCATAGTGGATACGTTTTTGGTCAACTATATTTGCCATTAAATTTCTGTTTACTGATCACGAAGGTTTACACCATGTAATCCTCCCACGACCATCAACCTTGTGATCCACTTTGTGAAAATCCTTCCTATATTGAACACACAACCTTGTGACCAATTTGTGATCTCATAAATGATGATAAAAGTTACACATAAAACAACAACAAAAATCTTAGATAAATAATACTTCTTTGGTCGACCCCTTGGATGTTTAGGTTCAGGTTGAACCATTCGTTTTGAACAACTCATGTCGTGTAAGTTTCGCGTTCTCAAGCTCTGCCTCGATGTAGCAGAAGATTTTGTCGTCTCATCATATAAAGAAGGAAGGCTTTTTGGTTTTATATCCAAGGAAAAGAAAAACAATAGATGGAATTGAGTTGCAGAGAAGAGAAGAAGAGGTGTATTCGATTAGGGTTCTAAAAGTACCAATTTGGGATTTAATAATTTTATTCTATTTTTTTTTAAAGAGAAACAGTGTAAACCTCTGTTATTAATAACGTAGATTTAACAATAAACATAGTTGACCAAAATTGTATCCAATACCTATGGGACAATTGCACAAATACCATTTTTATGATACCACAATTTAACTTTACCACTACTCAAGGAACATTTTCATAAATACACAATTTATTGATGAAAAAAGACAATACTACCCTTCCTTATCATCTCTTCTATTTTCTTTCTATCGTCTTCCCACGACCAATTTATCATTTCCAGAAGCTGGGACGGCGAGCTCCGCCTCTGGCCGTTCTCGATGAGCTTCTCCGGGACGTCTAGCTATACTCCTGATAATAACAGCCAGAGAATTCCCTCGCTGCTGATGTCGATTGTACCGTTCCTGTCGCTCCACAATCGACGATGACGAGACTTCCGGCGGCGGCGGCGATGATCGAGAATACACTCACGAACCAGACAAGATCTGAGTAAGCGTAGGGTTGGCGAGGAGGATATTCATACTTGTGAAGAGAGGTATACTAAGAGCAAACTTGTTCATTCTATCATCCGTCATGTTGCTGAGACTCTTTCTATTGATTTGGAGGTGAGTAAAATCGAATCTTTTAGGGATGTTGATTGTGGAGATTCTGAAATTAATGGGAAGTAGCTAACTTTGTGTCTGTGGTAACTGTTATAGTTTACTGATGTAGTCTTTGAGTACACATTGGTTTGAGTCTCTGTGTATAGTGTAAAGTAGCTACCTTTGGGTGGTTATGCTTAGGCTTGGAACTGTTATATCTTGGTTATTAGATCTCTTCATCTACATCTGTTATAGTTTTATCTACAAGCTGCTTGGATGCAGACGCTTCTTATGGTTTCTCCTATTATGACCCTACGATTGCTGAGCTTAGGGAACAAGCAGCTGTATCTTACTTTGGTTGCGTGTTTCAGCCATCTGATGAAGAACCTGAAGCTTTCCAGATTACTCAAAAACCAAATTCGCCATTGCAGAAAGTTCCTGAGGCATTAGATTTCACGAACAGAAGAAGAGAAACGCAGCTATGTTTGCTATAAACAATGCTTTGGTCAAGTACTACAATGCTCCCATTGGTGAATGTCTAGAGGATTCACCCGATGCCTTTGCTTGGTACCGATGAGAATAGGGATGGTACTCTGCAGGAGGCTGAGATCTCACCTGTGATTGGAAACTTTGAGGTTAAGGCTTATCCACAGTTACTGAAACTGTGTGGTGATATGGACTCAGCAGGGCTCCATAAGTTTGTATCAGACAACCGCAAGAATCTTGCATCACTAAAGGAGGAGATTCCTGTGGCGTTCAAGGCTGCAGCAAACCTGGCGAGCTTGGTGTTGAACTCTTTGGAAGGTTTTTACCCCATGGAGGCACCAAACACTGATGGGAAGAAAGACGCTAACCTCTTGGGGATGCGTATGACCTGTATCATGTTGATGGAGTGCCTTAGCATACTGTTATCTGGTTTAGACAGAAACTCCCTTGCTGCTGTTCTTTCAAAAGATGTTAAGCAGAGAACAAAAGCTATTGCTGAAGGATGGAATCCACTGCTGGGAAATCTTGAGATGGATGCCTGCAATGGTAACTCTTTGGATGCGCATGCGGTCCTGCAACTACTGGCCACTTTTGCTATTGTTTCCGACTTTTAAGAAGAGGAACTCTTGTAGCTGATCCCTATGGTTTCACGTCGCTTTCAGGCAGCTGAGCTTTGCCTTTCCCTTGGGTTGTCTGAAAAAACTGCCTGGTTTGTTCTCTAATTTTAAAAATATGGCTTGTTATCATACATGTTTTGACATTTTGATGTGAAGGTTGATGTGTGGTATTTAGTGAGTTAACTCAACTCTTTGGTCAAGGATCTAAAGATAAGATGAATTTGTATGTTCTAACGTTTAGTGCACATAAAAGTTATCTACCTTCGCCAGTAGTCCTAATCTTTGATGTGCAGGTGTGATTGAAGTTCTCTTGAACAGTGGGAAACAGATTGATGCGGTTTTGCATTTGGACTCCAAGAACAGTTCCAACCTGTCGAGTTACTGAAATCTTACTTGACTGAGGCAAGGAGATCTGGCAATGCATCTGCTGCTCAAGCTAGTTTTCCCTTACTTGATAACTTGCATTATACATCGATGTGTATTATAATAAAATTGATAGGGTATAAGAACTTTGAATGTACGCTGTGTTGCAGGTCAGGGATAACAGAACAGACTGGGTTCTCAAAGTGAATGAACCAATAGCAGGAAACCACTATCCGGAAAACTATTGATGTGAAAACTTTGGAGTAGATCAATCAAATGTTGAGTAAGTGTTAATAAAAGGATTGTGTTGTGTAAGTAATATTCAGCTTAATCTGGGAATCTACACAAAAGACAAGAAAGTAGAGTTGTCGGTGCTGGTTGATAAGGCTACTGGTGGTGGTAGTATCAAAGACGGTGAAATAGAATTGATGCTCCACAGGTTCCAAAATTCATCTTATATGTAGACTTGAATTTAAATGAAAAAGAAAGCAAGAAACATTGTTGTTGTTTTTTTTGTGTGGTTGAAAACGTGGAAACAGGCGCACTTGCATGGATGATTCGAGAGGAGTGGAGGAGAGCCTTGAGGAAACTGTGTGTATCAATGGTACATGCACAGGATTAAGGGTATATAATTTACTTTCAGGCTGGTGAAGAGAGTGATCAATTCAATAAAAGATTATTAAACTCTTTTAATATTTTGTATAAATCTCTATAAATAGATTTATAAACCTTGTAAATAGATTTATAAACTCTTATAAATGCATGATAAGTTCTTGTACGTTTTATAAACACTGATAAGAGAATTATAAACACTTGTAAATACCTTTATAGGATTCAGTTATGAATTTTTGTAAGAATTTATATATTTTTATAAATGATTTATAAACTCTTCTAAATGAAAACTCTTATAATTTTTTTATGAAAATTATAAAACTCTTTTAATATTTTTTATAAATCCTTAAAAATAGATTTATAAATCCTTATAAATAGATTTATAAATCTTGTAAATATATTTATAAACTTTTATAAATGGGTGATAAGTTCTTGTACATGGTTTTATAAACCCTTATAAATAGTTTTATAAACCCTTATAAATAGTTTTCAAAACTTTATAAATGATTTTAAACTTTCATATTTGATTGATCAACTCTTATAAAGCTATGAACATAAACGAAAAAGATCTTATAAACTCTTACAAGATGATTTAAAGCATTGCAAAATCATTTATGAATTCTATAACTACACATACATTCATGATGCATTTGGTTAGAAAATGATTTTGGTAAATAATTTCAAACACTGATAAAAGCATTATAAACACTTATAAATACCTTTATAAGGATCCACTTATGAATTTTTGTAAGAATTTATATATTTTTATAAATGATTTATAAACTCTTCTAAATGAAAACTCTTCTAAATGAAAACTCTTATAAAATGTTTTATGAAGATTATTAAACTCTTTTAATATTTTGTATAAATCCTTATAAATAGATTTATAAACCTTGTAAATAGATTTATAAACTCTTATAAATAGGTGATAAGTTCTTAGACATGTTTTTATAAACCCTTATAAATAGTTTTATAAACCTTTATAAATAGTTTATAAATATTTATAAGTCTTTTATTAACTTCTTAAACGGTTCATAAACTCTTATAGACACACGTAAATAGTTTTATTAATCATTATATATGTTTCGTTCTTGCAAACATAAATAATCCATCGAAGAATATATAGAAAAAGGTTGACTCACTAATAGACATCTGATTTTTCTAAATAAACAACTGATTTTTCTTATAAAATTTTCTGTCGACTCACTAATATTTTGCGTATATTAGATTACACTTATCTATTTTAACTGCATCATTGAGGCATTGACTTTTCTGGTTTAACCACTTAATTAACTACAACTTAAAACTCTCATTAACAAAGTAATGTCCCTTTCTGGGTAATTCATAAGTGATTTTGGGGGTTTATGTTGCTCCCATAAGTTTTGTTTTCAAGTCATCACAAAATGTTTAAAATGTTTATAATGATTTATAAGAATTTAAAAGGGTTTACAAAATCACTTGCATGTGCTTATAAAGATTTTATATAGAATTTATAAGGATTTATAAAGTTTATAAAGGGTTACAAGGATCTTCTTGAACGCTACGAGGATCTCTTCTTCCACTAGTCCACACTTTTTGAACGTTTTGAATGTTTGAATTATCTTATTCTCGGAGTTGGTCATGAAAGTAGGCCACTTCTTGAACATCTCCCATACTTCTTGTGCACTCAACTCTAACCTTTTGTACAAGTTAACTTTCTCTTGAATCGTCTCCTCACTCATCTGGAAAACCATGCGTAGAGCGTGGACGAACTTTGGGGTTGTGGTAACAAAACTCATCTTAAGAACCTTCTTGAGAGACTCTTGGAATCTAACTTTGCCGTGGATGGCTCCGTTCTCGGAGATGGGTAAAGGGAATAAGAGTTTATACAACCATTTAAATTTATAAAATCTTTTATAAATTTACAAATCATTTACAAGACTTCTAAATCATAATATAAGGTTAATAAGAACCTATAAGAGTTTATAAACCATTTATAAAGGTTTATAAGGGTTTTTAAAATGTTTATAAGGGTTTATAAGGGTTTATAAAAATTTACAAAGGGTTTACAAACCATTTATATTTGTTTAAATGTTACCTGCCTTCACTTGCAGAAAAGTAGACACAAATTATTCTCTATGCACAGGTAAACATATCCATTGGCAGAGACACAAACAAAATCATACTAGGCGCAGGGAAGTGAGAGTGTGTGCTTCACATGTACTCATCAGAAGAAAAAGCACACTATCCATATGTGATGCAAGAGCGGTGTTTGACGTGTATTTGCCAAACAGCCGGTTCAAAAAGTCTTCTCCTGATGAACCTAGCTTTGTTGCTTGCTTATCAGGGTAAGAGTTTTAGTTTAGCTCCAACTATGAAAGCAAGTTTTTCATTAAACATCAATCCTCTTTTTACAGGGACTCTCCACCAAGCAAAGAAGATGTTAGAGTCCTGCAAAGCCGCATAGTTGCACCGTTAAGGTTCTGTCATATAGCTCAGGGCCGTGTTAGTTTCTTTTCATTCAGTTCCATAAACCTCTCTGACTTACCATAAAATGTAACATGAAACGGGATGTTGTTCTATTCAGTAGACAAAGTAACTGAGAGTTTACACACACTTAAGAGTAGTCTTGTATTCATGTGCTACTGCTACAACTTTCATTTTCTTGTCTACAAGGCTTTTAGTAAGAATCTTATAAAGGGCTTCGTGAAAAAGACACCGTAGACAACCTTCCTTCCTTGGATGAGATAAGCTTGTATCCTCGTAGATAAAAGAACTAGGGACTGTGAAGCTTTTTCAGGTCCCAAGCGTTCACAAACCTCTTGGGTATAATCCTTGACAGATGTGGGTACAAGTCCTTGTATGTTTCCTTTATCGTATTTTCGTGAACTTCGTTATATCTGCAACTCATCAAGTGTTTACATCAAAGTTAGGTAAAGAGAAGAGGTGACCAGATTTTTGCTCAGGGAAATTAAAGTGCAAACAACCTTTGAGCAGCTTCTTCTCTCATAAGAAAGTCGAGCAATGATATAGACGACTGCAGCTGCAACTGATGACGGAGGCCTGCTGCTGCAATACGTAGAAATAAGGGGTTCTTAAGTTTCTGTACATCTTCTAACATCTACTACTTTGGTACGTACCTTTTAACATGTTTAGTACACTTCTCCGCAGCTTCTTCAGCAGCTTTAACGGCTTCGCTATCCATTTCAAGCTCGGTAGAATATCGCTTCTGCAGATTAAAATATAATAATCAGTAAAATGAGAAAAAGCTAATTTAACCACTAGGAGGAAGATGCACAGAAACTCACTGCAAACTCAACAGCTCGGATGTGCATCAACTGAGGCGTGAGGCCAAGTCTGTCAGCTACGGATTTGACTGCACTAGTAATCTTGGACTCCTCTGCTCCATTGGAAACAGTAGATATCTCTATATAGAAGAAGAAAAATAGGGTTTTTAAGGATTTAACATCAAGAACACAGGAACAAGAATCTTTCTTAAGTATCAACTTAGTACCTCTGATACTCAACGCAATGCCATTTTGTCTACAGGATATGTAAATAGAAGCAGCAAAACGAACGTTTCGTTTCGCTATTTGTCCTTTTATTTGTTCAGAGATCTCAGTAGCCTGATTCTACAGAGCAAGAACACACACACACAATAGTTCAAGCTTTATGTACACTAACTATCAAGAACACACAAACCAATTGACATTTCCACAAACAACTACCAGAAGAGTTTCCTTCTCTGTAAAAACCTTGTCACTGAAATGCTGGCTTTGTTTCTTAAGTTTGTCCTTGAAAGTCTAGTCTTTTTGATACCTTCTTTGATTCATCTTACAACCCCTGAGAAACAAATGATCGAACACTTGGTGTGCAACCACATCAACATATTCCACTGAGTTTTGAATTAACTCATCTACCACCTCTAAAACATAGACTTGTTCCATTTCTAGAGCAAACCACTCTTCAGCTCGTTGCTTACAGCTCAACCCAGAGAATGTACCACATCCAAACGATTGTGGGTCATTTTTCTGAACTCGTTCCACTAATGAAAAAAAAACAAGCAGTTCAAACCCATCTCAAAAGCAAGAGAAAAACGTCACCTTTAACATTAGATAGCCAAATACTACTAACCATCAACCCTAAACATACAGTTAAAGCTCAACTTCAAAGCAAATACAAGAGCAAAGATAGCGTACTGAAAAAATCAATAACCTTTTTATACATTTTATACAAGGTACACCCAATACAGCAGCCTTTAAACATAGACAATAACTACTAACCATTAATCCTATATCTCCAAAAAAAAATTTTTTTTAAAGTGTAACGATGGTCTACTGCATTGGTCTCACCCTGAGACTCTTTCACATCGAAATTCTCAGAATCAGCATCAAAACTAATCTTATCACCATCAGAAGAACCATTGTTTGTATCACTACAAGTCCTAGTACTCTCCTTCACCAAGTCGTCAACAACTAAACACAACCTCTTGGAAAACTTAACCCCTGAGCCTTCACGAGCAACGGTTTTACCAGCATCATCCCCAGATTTCAAAAGAAAATCACCTAGAATCGAGGAGATTCCTCTCTTGCTTGGAACATTAGTCATATCACACAAAGGGAGACGCGTCCTTGGACACTAAGCTGCAGCTATCTCCAGTCATATTCACAAACAAACAAAAAAAGAAAACTTTTCATTTCCAAATTCTAAATCTCACAAAATCCAAATCCCAAAACCAAATTGAAACAAAAACCCTAAAATTCACCAAAATCCTAATCGAAAATTTTCAATTCGGAATCAGAAACTGATAGTAATACTACGAAATGAATCGATTTGCAAACCCTAAAAATCAAATGGAGTTTGGGTTACTGACCAATGGATTAGTGGCATGCAAGTGGCTTGGAGTAAGGAAGCAGGATCGGAGATCGAGCGAACTCCGGCGGAGGCGGAGGAGGAGAGGTTGCGAGTAAGTGAAAGTGATTCGAATCGCCACTAAAACGAGTTTGAAGAAGAGCTTGTAGAGGTGAGGGTAAATCAAGGAGTCGTAGAGAAAAAAGGTTGAAAACAATTTGATTAATTAAGGTTAGTATATTCTTTTGCCTATCAAAATTTTAAGGGTAAATATGATTAGTGTATAAGTGAAATAGTGTATCATGATTGTGCTAGTTTTAGCAATTTCCCAATATCTATCTATATATCTATTATTATAAAGTATGTTTTCCCTTATTCTAGGATGTCATGTCACTAATTCAATGATGCGACACATTTTCACTAAGATTACAAGATAGTTTTCATTAACTTAATTGCAGCTGAGTTTCGTTGTGTGTTGTTAGGCCTTAATAATACCCTCAAAAACCCAGACTATTATCGTTAAAGTAAGATCCTTCATCCGCACCATTTTAGAATCTAGGATTTATCTCAATCTTTGATCTGCGGCACTAGAGAGACTGAGATGCAGAAGTCGGTGTACCAATTCTGTTCTTTGGGGTTTTGATCACGTTCTTTTGCATTCTTTACATCTATTAAAACAAGATAGTTTCCATATCCATCACATTAATCTAATGATAGGTTCTTACTGATGAAAAATATATATACACATAAGTCATTGATTTATAATTTAATAGGACCATATATATATACACATATTTTTTTAAAAAAAATTATTATCTTATTATTTTATCGATTTGTGTTAAATTTGTTACCAACCCAAATTCAGACCAGCAAAATTTATTAATTTATCAAGTATAATTTATAGAGCTTCTACTGTATATAATTTTAATTTTACGTACTTGCGGGCATATATTTCTATGAATACGTCCAATTATTTAAATTTGAAAAAAAAATCAGAAACCCTATTTATGTTATTTGCAAGCCATTGTTGACGGCTACGTTTTCTACACTAAGTTTTCTTTTCATATATTGTTTCTCTTAGTTAGGAGAGAAGGGAGGAACTCCTATCAGAGTCCTCCTGGAACTCCATTGGTTTTTATATCTATTTTATTTCAGTTTTATATCTATTCATCTATGATTTCCGTGACAAACTTCATATCTGAAAAGATCCACCTGTTGGATTTAGGGTTCATATAGGTTGTGGGATTAGCCCCAACTATAGTTTGCTAAGTTGTGATATTCATTTTTTTGATTTTCTTAATGCTTGTTTCTAGAGTCATGAACTAGAACCACGAACTGGAATAGTTTAATTTATTAATTTTCATCCTGATATCATCCCGTATAAGCTAAGATCCTCTAGGAATAAGCGATAACCGGTCTATGATCTTGGTGGGCATTATTCGATACTCGAT